TTTTTTTCCATAGTGGATCACAGGATCATAGATTTAGAGGTAGAAGGGACCCTAGGGATAATAGTGCCATAGTTCCTGGCTTCTTTTAAGTTCTAACTAATATCCTACCTTCTATAGGAAGCCTTCCTCAACCCCTCTTAATTCTAGTGCCTTCCCTTTGTTAATTATTTCCTATTTGTCCTGTGTATAGTTCTATTTACATGTTGTCTCCCCCATTAGATTGTAAGCTCCTTGAAGGAAGAGATCATTTTTTTGCTTCTTTTTGTAACCCCAATGCTGAGCACAGTGCCTGGCATATGGTAAGCAATTTATAAATGCTTATTGATTGAGTGATCGACAGATCTCAACAGAGAATATTCATGCTGTTCCATCTTTGATGGAACCCATGAACTGGTCTGAAATCCAAATCCTTTTAGATGTACCTTAGATTTTTTAAAATTTTATTTTAAAGAATTTCCTTTCTTTATCCTTTCCATAACTCCTCTAATCCTTCATCTCTTTTACTACAGTGGACTGTTTTATTTAACATAACTGGAAGATCCTACTTTGTCAGATTAAAATCTTTCCTGTCACATATTTTAACTATCTCTTTCCATGCACTCATGGTCTACTTGAGATGCACAGACGTATGCACCTAGGACATGTTAGATACACCATTATGAACATGTTTGGAGATTGAGAACTTAATCAGTAAACACAGACTTCGAGAACTAAAGTGTAAGAAATACCTGTATATATTTACTATATATACACACACAGTTTTTTTAGGCAACTCAGATACATTCCATGGCAACATCTACTTATCTTGAAGCATAGCAACCTTGACATAATGGCCAAAGAAAAAGTAGAGGCATCATGAGCATAAAAACCAGAGCACTTTAATATTTCTCAACAAACATGGTTAAAATACCATGTCTTTGAATGGATGCTTTTTTTCCTAAGGAAAGCCTGCATTCTATCTTTGGTTTCCTGAAATCACAGCTGGATCTTATTACAGGCCAAGTAAGAAGCTCCATGGAAAGCGTGCCTAAACCTTTAAAGCTACAAAAAGAAAATTGATCTTCATTAATTAGATGTATAGATTATATAGATTGACCACTGTGTTATTATATAACACTGTGAAAAAGGTCATTTTATGGTTTGTTGCTAGCTTTGCTCTAGGTAATTTAGCTAAGCCTTATATGCTAAGATATTTCACTAACCACAGAGGCAGGGTTAGGAGCCAGGTCAAAAATTGGATCAAACTATGAATCTGTGATTGGTGGAGGACACTGTACATGCAGAGAATGGTCTAGAACATGCGGTATTGAGAACATAGCCTTATCTCTTTGTAACATTTAATACACGACAAATGTCATCTATGACAGAGCTTAAGACAGTAGTACTGCATAACACTGATAAGTGAAAATATTAACAACTCCATGGTTCATTATTGAATAGTCAATCCTAATGGCTTAACAACAGTAAACACAAGACCTGCCATTCTAAGCCCTGACTTTTGCTTTTATGGAGACCTCAGAACTGGATCCACAGAGAAGAAGAGACTGGATGTCAGATTTGAGTAAATAGAAAAAAGCAACAAAAGATGCATGTCATGACAAGCCTGAGGATGTAGATCCTCACCTGAATAGTGATCAGCAGCTTTAATGAAAAGCAGGTTTGAAGAGAAATGTTAAAATAGGACAATCTGGGAGAAGATCTGAGGGTCTGGGCCAACACGAGAGGAGGCTAAGCTTCACCAACCTTGACCAAAGCCTTCTGAGGTGCCAAAGTCAGTGCTGATTGCAAAGACATTACGATGCCATTATTTTAGCTAATTACGATCTTTAATCTGCTGGGTGATTTGTAGAGGGACAGCAAGAAAAAGCACTCCAAGCCTAACTCAAAGAAACTACTTCAACTTTTGACCACAGCGACCTTGTCAAGTAGCCAGTGACTTGCACTTTCATTGTGAGTAAGTGACTAATATCTATGCTGGTTCCAAAGAAAGACACTTTTCATAATCGCCCAACAATCTGCTAAGTGAAAACATATGGATGGGCTTAGGCAAAGCCTGCCAGGGGTCTTTGCTGAATGGAAAACAGGTGCTCTAGTTTCGTGCCATGTAATACCCCATTTACCCCCAAGTCCAAAGGTTACAGGACTAATAGCTGCCTTGTGGTAATCAAGGAAAGCTAAGACACTAGCCATGGTGAAACATCTGGGACATATTTTACATACTTGCAACATATGCTTCAGGTTCAATTAAAGTGAGGCTTTGGCACATTTATTAATCTTTTTTACTTTTATCCTATAAGAGAACCCACTGACCTGACCTTACTATTATACCATATGAAAAAACAGGAATAATGAGAACTGGAGGTCAGTACCTGCTGGTATAGCAAAGACACATTTGTTTTCTCAAAAAAAAAAAATTCCATTAGGCCTGACTTTACACGCAAGCTTTAGACTGAAGAACCAATGAATGTTTTAAAGTAGGAAATTGCCCTGCCGCTACAGGAACACACTGACATCTAAACCTTGCAGCGTTTAGTGGTGTATAATCTGGCCAAGAGACGGAAGCTGGAAAATGGGAACTTGAAGGATCCTTTCCATATTTCCATTTTTTTTATAATAAGAAACCCATAGTTTAAAAAGTCCATACAAAAGATTTTATCTCCTATTATGCAAGAACTTAAAAATCTATTGTAAATGATCAGCTTTGTCATTTTCCTTTTTGTGCAGGATATGATTTTCATGCTACAAATTGCATTATAAGAGCTTAAAAAAACCTTTCATATTACTGAAAAAAGGGCTGGGATTTATGAAAATCAAATGACATTCATTTCATATGGAAAATACACTCTTCTTCCGCCTCCTATAAAAATACAGTTGAATTTACACAGTAATTTAAGCAGTCCCTTTCAAACAACTTTAGTAAGTAGATCAGAAAGTGTATCAGAATCAAGGGGTTGACTCTGAGGCTAGATTAGGATTAGGATGAACACTAGATTAGGATGGACACAGCTCCAGGGATTTGCTGTGTTTTTCCTAACCTGGTGGGTTTTTGCTTTATAACTACATTTTGGTGACCTAGTTTGAAAGAAACTCAGGCTCTCCCCTTTCTCTTCCTCTCCCTTTTCCTCTTCCTCTCCCTTTCTCTGTTCTTCCCTTTATTTCTTATTCTCCCATTCCCTGCTCTTCCTTCTCTGTCTCTTCCCCTTTATTCCTCCCACCCCACCCCACCCCTGTTGCAGCCCCCACCTTCAAAAAAAAAGGAAGGTAGATTTTTAGGAGCCTGGGAATCAAGGAGGTGCCAAAGAAATAGAATGATTTCAAGCAGAAGCATTAAAGCACCAAAACAACACTATGGGCCCACAGTTATTAAAATTTCTGGGAATACACATGCTGCTCGGATGGATCCCTTACAGTAGCTTTAATAATAAAGCTGCTACAAGCAAGGGAAAATGGCCATAAATGGATGGCAGCTTAGTGTTTATCAGAAGAGAAATGATGATTCAGAGCTCGCATGTTGAGTTAAAATACAAGCTCTCTACAGCTACACGGCTGACCTTCGCAATAAATCATATCTTTTATTGCCAGAAGTGTATGCTCACATTATTTAACATTAAAAACTAGCACATATGTGTTTTTACAGAAGGAGGTTTTGTTAGTTCAGTGTTTGATGATACTAAAATGATGTAGCTAATGACTAAATAATGTACAGAAGGATTTCACAGAACAGCTCTCTCAATTTTAAAATGTTTGAACCAGCAAAAGAAAAAACCACTGTAGGAATGTGTGTGTGTGTGTGTGTGTGTGTGTGTGTGTGTGTGTGTGTGTGTTCCATATTCTTTAAAGAATTGGATGTTAGCTATCTGGGAAAAAAAATCATTCAGGGGATTAACTAATCACTTCGAATTTTTTTGACATTTCTAATGCTTGCTGCCAGCACACAAATTCTTACGCTGGTATATAACTGTACATCTCTACTAGAAACAAAGGTCAAAGGCATAAATTAAGATATACTGTTTTTCTCCTCTCTTCAAAAAATTTCATTGCTTTACTACAACAGAAGTCAGATGAATACTGGTGAAGGTCAAAATTTGGTTTTCTATGCAAAGCAATTAAATTTTTTTTAAAAAATCAGTCATTTTCTCTCTTTCTTGTTTTCAGTATTTTTTGGTCTGGAAATACCCTGAGGCAAGCAAAAGCTTGATCTACAGCCTTCTTCTCCACAGCAGAACCATCCCACCAACACCCACCACTGAGGCTGTGGTGCAAGGTCATTCTAATTTCCTTCTCCTGGTTTTTCCCTCTCCCTGGGGGGGTGGGGTGGGGGGACAACCGATCCAAGTTGTCCCATCACTTGGTTCAATGAGATGTAGAAACTAGCTGTTATGTACTGTGGCCAAAATCCTTTACAGGGACCAGCCACCCAGGAAGAGAAATGTGTAGAGGTAAGAAAGAGCAGGTCTCAAGGCCTCTAGGGCCATAGTACCTATTTCAAAGCAAGTGGACACCAGCAAGAGTTGTGATTATTTAAATGCCATAGAGAATGCCACTCGTATATGGGCCATTCTTTTAACCAAGCAATTCACTGAAAATTACAGGTGACAGGATCCCATCTTCAACTGATGAGGGGCCGCTATTTTTATTTCTTTTTTTTTTTTCTCCCTAAAGTATAGTCCTATTTGTAATACTCAAGACAGGACAAATTTTTGTCCTTCAAAAACAGTTGTCACTGCCGTTATCTTCAGAAGAGCTATCAAGTTCCAGACAAGCTGAATTATTTTTGTTCCTGGCAGAAAAATATTTGACCCAGCTCTGGACAAAAAAGAAGAGGATTTATAGTCCTCTATCCTTCCGGCAACATCCAGTGGCATTGTTAGGATGATAAACAGCACTGTCCAATTTTCTGGACTAAAACACTTCAACTCCTTTTTTAACTGTCTGTAAAAACAGTGTCATGTCTAAATTCTCCCATCCCCAGGTACCCGAGTGCTCGGGAAGATAATTACCTTGTCATCTTTGTCATCCTCTTCTTCCTCGTCCTCTAGCATGTCCTCCACTACCTGCAGACAGAAACAGACGTCGTTGTCATGATTTTCAAGAAGAGAATTTTGTTCTGTCAATTGGGAGCTTTTTAGAGATGAAAACTTTATTAACATCTGAAACAGGCTGAGAAATAAAATATTCGATTTAGAGATTGAGATTTGGACAATGTTCTATATTTAATCGATCCACACCATCTAGAAGTACTAGAAAAACTATAAGTACACACACATACACACACACACATATATCTGCACAATTATTTACACACACATAAACATACTATATATACCCAGAAATATAAATGTATAATGTGTTCATATATGTATACATATATACATACACACAAACTTTTGGGACTATGTATATACGTGTATATATTTATATACATACATGTGTATGTGTATAATCTATATCACCTATATCTATATTCTATTTGAGTAAATGTTAGACTAGGAATCCTTTTTTCCAGATCTCTTGTTATTTATATTGTTCAAGCACTTTAGATTTGGAGCAAACTTACTAAATATTCAAATGACTATGCCAGGCCTACATTTCTTATTCATCAAAAGTATTGGTTTAAGTATTGGGCCAGGAGATAGGAAACCTGGGCACTGATGCTGTTCGGCCCTTAACGAGGGGTATGATTTGCCAAGTCATTTTACTTCTACGAGACTAAGATTCCTCATCTATAAAATGAGGCTGGGTCGGATGATCTCCTGGTTCCAAAATTAGGTGGCATCAGGAAGACTTGGGTTCAAATCCAGCTTCAGACACTTATTAGCTGTGTGACCCTGAGTAAGTCACTCAACCTCTCTCTGCCTCAATTTCCTCATCTGTAAAATGAGGCTAATAATACCTACCTCCCAGGGTTGTTGTGAGAATCAAATGAGATAATAATTGTGAGGCACTTAGCCCAGTGCCTGGCACAGAGTAGGTGCTATATAAATGTTTGCTGTCACTACTGTTATTGTTATGCTATGCTATGATCATTGCGCAATAGCATCAGACTCATACAGGTTGTTGTCTGAAGTCAAGTTTCAGGCTACAGCAGTTAACTCATTGTCTATGTATGTGTATCATGGATTATCCACTTTGTGGATTATCTGAGACAAGTTTTTAACCTTAGGCTGGTTTCTTCTTGCTACTTAGTATATTTGGAGACTTCCTTCTATTGTCAGTTGGTGAGTGGTATGAGGATGTAAATTAATTTAAAAAGTTATGAAGGCAGATTTTCTGAATAAAGATAATTTAGTTTATTTTAAAATAAACTTTAATGATTTTTTTTTTGGATTTTCTATTTGGGAGTTATTCACATCATTTCCCCCCCACCCCCACCCCTCACACGTCATTGCCCATAATCTAGAGTTGTCTATACTTCATTCAGGTACTAGGTGATGCAGTAGATGGAGTGACAGATCTGTAATCAGGAAGACCTGAGTTCAAATGTTGCCTCAGACAATTACTAGTTGTAGGACTGTGGGTAAGTCACTTAATCTCTGTCTGCCTCAGTCTCCTCATTTGTAAAAATAAGATGAATAATATCATCTACCTCCTAGGTTTATTGTGAGGATTGAGATATTTATAAAATACTTTGTAAACTTTAAGGTGCTATATAAGTGCTAGCTATTATCATCATCATCATCATCATCATCATCATCATCATCATCATCACCTCATGGTTCTGTTCATATACCCATACACGTGCTTACATAGACTGATAACCTCAGAGGTACATGAACCAAAAAGAAATGGCTCCTTACATATAAAATCCAACCACTTAATATACAACACTTAATTTTGTGGTTTTTTTGTCTCTCTTTTTATTTGTAATATAGATTTGTAATCTCATATATGTAAGTCAGGAAAATCTTTATACCGGAATAAACTGGCAACTACTCTGGAACTTAGGTTCTTAACGTGTTGCCTAGACCCCTGAGAGATTAAATGCTTTGTTCAGGTCACACAGCCAGCACCTCAGAGGTACAACCTGAACCCAAGGTTGTTCTGACTTGAAGACCAACTTACATCCACTAAGAACACTACTACTACTACTACTACTACTACTACTATACTTCTCCTCCTCCTCCTTCTTCTCCTCCTCCTCTTCCTCCTCCTTCTTCTTCTGCGACAAATTATTAGACAGGATATGGTTGGAGTATCTTTAAATCTTCCTCCAAAAGATTCCTGCCACGTTTAAAACATATAAGTATATTTGACGTTGTTTGCTTCATATGAGCATGGTTCCCATGGGGATATGCAATTTCTAGTAATGGTCATGAGAGCTAGATACCGAACTTAATGGTTGTTAGTACAGTTCTTTGAATTAGCAGTTGCTTAAAATGCTAGATAATGCATGTTTACAACATATACAAATCCTATACACTAACAGTAGTAAGCTTTTGACTCTCTTATAAATATAACAATACATAAAGATATTTTAAAATACACTTCAGTGCATTGGAATGTATTGTAGAGAACATGCAAACTATTCAAAAGTGCTTCTAACACAAATCCATTAAAATATATATTTTTTAAAAAGGTAGGTATATACTAGATCATCTCTAAAGCCTCTTCCAACTCTAAGATTCCATTGTTCTAGGTTGCAGTTTCTAGGCATGAACTTCAACTGACCTACATACAACCTGACTCTATTTTGAGGCACAGTTGTAGTACCAGACCTTGTTCTTGACCAGGGATGTGCTAGAGTTAGCTCTGATTGCTTCAGAAGAGCCAGTGTTAAATTTTTATTGTGAGCATTTATACCTTGGAAATTGGATATTACAAATCAGGGGTTGATTTATGCTTTTGTTGATTATTTAGACTTAAAAAGTGATGGAGAAAATATTATTAGTGCAGATTAAACTTAAAAGTACGTCATGCATATAAGGATGTTCAATATTTGCCAGCACACTGCTATGATCTTAGCAAGTTCAGAGTATTGTTAGTGGCTTCTAGCCTCCCTAACACTAGCTATCCCATAAAAACAACTAAGGCAGACCTAGTCCAAACACTTATACGGAGACAAAGCTTATAATGCTTCTCCAACTGTTCCTTCCTACAATGAAAGCAGGGATCATCTCTCCCAGCTCCTTCAGGTCTTACTTTTTACCATTTCTAAATCATTCCTGTATCTTTCCCAGTCTAATGCTCCAGGTTCAGTTCCACCTGGGACTTGGGAGTAAGGAAGACGTGAGTTTATATCTTCTCTCTGATACTTACTAGCCATGACTGGGTAAGAAAATGCGGTTAACTTGTCTAAGTGTCAGTTTCATCATCGGTATAAAAAGTACTAATAACACCTATCTCACAGAGTTACTGTGACAATCAAATGAGATAATGTATGTAAAAAACTCTCCGAGCAGCCAGGAGGCACAGTGGATAGAGTACAGGGCCTGGAGTCAGGACGACTCATTTTCTTGGGTTCAAATCTAGCCTCTGACATGTACTAGTTGTATGATGCTGGCCAAGTCACTTAATCCAGTTTCCTCATCTGTAAAATGAGCTGGAGCAGGAAATGGCAAACCATTCCAGTATCTTTGCCAAGAAAACCCCAAGTGGGGTCATGAAGAGTTGCATTTTGACTACATATATGAATTTTTTAACTTTTTAAATTAATTTACATCCTCATACCACTCACCAACTGACAATAGGAAGAAGTCTTCATATATGGTAAGTAGCAAGATGAAACCAGCCTGGAGTTAAAAACTTGTCTCAGATAATCCACAAAGTGGATGATCCAAGACACACATACACAGACAATCAAGAGTTAACTGCTATAGACTGAAGCTTGACTTCAGACAACAACCTGTATGAGCACGACCTACATATATGAAATCTCAAATCGATATTACAAATAAAAAGATAGACAAATAACCACAAAATTAAGGTTTGTGTATTCAGTGGTTGGATTTTATATCTAAGTCCCTAGCCTCCCTAGACCATATCAAAATAACTGAACAACAACAAAAATATAAAATTATCCTTTTTTTTTTTTTTGGTGAGGCAACTGGGGTTAAGTGACTTGCCCAGAGTCACACAGCTAGTAAGTGTTATGTGTCTGAGGTCAGATAAAAATGGAAAATTCTTTACAAATTTTAAAGCACAGTATCAATGTGAGCTATTAAACTGCAATGACATCATACAAATACTCAGATGTTTTACTCAAAGATTAACCAGTTTAAAAAAAATAATTGCAGGGCATACTTCCAAGCTACATGAACATAGACTACACTTTTAACATTCATAAGATCTAAGAGCTAGAGCAGACAAGGAGCACAGAGTTGATCTAGCCCAACCCTCTTCATTTGATGGATAAGGAAGCTTAAGCTTCTATTAGGGGATAGAGATTTACAAGAAAGGAATACTAGTATTCTTTAGACATTACAGATATACCAAAAGCTGTACCCAATGCCTATTAGGAAAGAGGAATGTCCTCTGGAATACTGGGGGAAGGAGTGGTACTTTACTGGCAACCCCCACATTCATTTTTCTTCTGAGGGGAGTACAAATCACAAGGTGGTACTATGAATCTGAAGGAAATTGATCCAGTGGAAAATTCTACCATTCAGAGAGTAAGGAGAACTGTATTGATTATTTATGGTCTATTGTATATGTTTTCTGGATTTGCTTATGTTTTCTTGATATTTCTTTGTATTTTTTGCTTTTTCTGTATAGTAAAACAAAGGCTGTCCTATACCTGATACCATTGTTACCTTCAGTGCTTAGGTAGGAGCTGGGGACTCTTACATTTGTGGAAACTTATCAATGAAATATATTGAATGATTTCCTCAGATAAATTCAGGGTAATGATACCGATATTTTAGGTATATCATCTATATCAGTGTAGTTCAAATAAGTCCATAGATAGTTGACTTTGAGTCACAGGTTACAAAGAAGGACACATCTTTGAATATTCACTCTAACTACATTATTTATGATTCGGTCTCTTCATTCAATAAGCATTTGTGAGTCACCTATCATGTGAAAGGTGCTATGGTAGGTACTATAAGTGTTGTCA